CCGCCCCCCCCCCCCGAAATGGTGTCTCAGGAAGGAGTGAGGTGGGAGGTGTCAGTGGAGGATGTTCCTCACCAGGGGATGAGCTTTTTCTGCAGTGCTCCACGTTTTGGAGATGATGGGACACCCTAACCCACCCTCACAACCACCCTTCTCCTTGCAGAGGACACCTACACCTCAGAGGAGCTGGTGGACCAGCAGCCCGTGCTGCTGAAGGTGATGGACACTGCTGACCAGGTGAGCCCCCAGGCCACTGCCGGTGCCAGCCATCCAGCATGGCACAGCTGGACCCACAGCTCAGCTGCTCCTCTTGCCCCTAGGATGGCCCCGGGAACTGTGAGCGATACCTGCGCTGGGCCAGCGCCTTCCTCGTGGTCTACAGCATCGAGGACAGGAAGAGCTTCGAGGGCTGCCAGCGCTACCTGGAAGTGCTGGCCCTGCACGCCCGGGGCTGCCAGCACCGCTGCCCTCTGCTCCTGCTGGGCAACAAGCTGGACATGGAGCAGTACAGGTACTGGATATGGGGCCAGGCTGTCCTTTCCTGGTGGGAGAGAGCTCACTGATCACCCCTCTTCCCTCTGGCTGGGATGCAAAAACCAAATCCAGTTTTTCTGGGGCGGTATTTCCACCCCCATTGGTACTTGCCACGTCCTCCTCCGAGGTTCCTGCTCTCCTGCCTGGGGGATGATGTGTTTATTTTCAGCGGGATGTTTTGGTAAAGCAGCGTCACTGTCCCCAGGCAGGGCTTGAGCCTGTTCCAGCTCCTCACTCCCTTCCGGATGTGCCCTTTTCCTGGAGTCCTTTCTCACCCTGTCCCCAGTGAGTCCCATGCTGCCAGGACTGGATGTCCCCGGTGTGTTTTTCTGGCCTTTCTGGGGCTGTGCTGAGTGTTTGCCCCACAGGCACCTTGAGTCACGTGTGGTGCTGAACCCCCTAGTGCCCCCAGCACAGAGGCTCTTCATGGCCAGGACCTGCCCCATCTCCTTCCCACTTCCCAGTGCTTCACCATGACATGCAGTCCTTGCACCCTGAGCACACATCCCTGGCACGAGAGGTTGCATGATTCTTCAGGGATCTGCACAGCCCCTTGCTCTGTTTCTTTGGGAAAGGCAACATTCTTTTGGATTAAAATCCCCTGCTGTGCCAGGAGGGAGACGAGTGGGTGCTGCCCCGGTGCTCACAAAGTAGCTGCCGTGGGATGCAGGGTCTGGGAAGCCGGTGTGGGATGCAGGGCCTGTTCCTCCCTGCCTGCCCCCTTCCTTCCCCATTTTGGGTGGTGCCAGCGTCCCAAGGTTACGCGGCCCCCATCCCCTCCGCTCTCGCCAGGCAGGTGCTGGCAGCCGAAGGGATGTCCTTGGCGAGCAGGTTCGGGGGCCTCTTCTACGAGGTGTCGGCGTGCCAGGACTTCGCGGGGGTGCAGCGCGTCTTCCAAGTTCGGGAGGTCCGGCGCCGGGCGAAGGGCAGCCCTCCCCTCCGGCCGCTCTTCATCACCGAGGAGCGACCCTTTCCCCCGGTGGCCACGGCCGTGGCCCTGCCCACTGCTCACAGGCTGGCCAGCTGCACCTTCAACACCCTCTCCACTGTCAACTACAAGGAGATCCCTTCGGTGGCCCAGGCCAAGCTGGTCACCGTCAAGTCCTCGCGGGCTCAGAGCAAGAGGAAAGCTCCCACGCTCACCTTGCTGAAAGGCTTCAAGATATTTTAGGACGTGTCCCTGCAGGGTGCAGAGGGGAGCAGCCCCTGTCCCCCAGCTCCACAAGGACTCAGGCCACCCAGGACAGGCTCAGGGGCACCGCAGCAGCCACTGGCAGTTCCCCCTGGCCAAGCGCTGCCACCGTGTTTGCCCCCTGTCCTGCCACTGAGACCAGGGGCCAGCCCAGCTTTCTGTGTGGATCCAGGCAGTTCCCGGAGCAGCCGGAGCCACAGGCAGCACCCGGAGGGCCAGGGCTGTCTCCAGGGCCCCACAGCCAACTTAGGTGCACAGCAACAGGAGCCCAGGAAGGGAATCCAGGGAATTAATTGTTTACTGAAACACGGAGGCACCAGTCTTATTCGTCTCATGGGTCCCCTGACAGAGCAATAAGTAGGAGGAATTTCTATTTTTATTTAATTCAGAAAGGTGCAGGTGCTGTTTCAGCCAACTAAAGGCCTTAGGTGTCCCAAACCAATTGCCATGCGTGGAAACAAGTCATTCCAAGATAGTTGGGTTTTTTAACATTTTTTTACACTATAGCAGGGAGAGATGCTCCCCTGACAAGGACCTGCTCTGAAAAGCTTTTGTTTAAAAGACTGATGTATTTCCAAAAATGTCTTAAGTTATTTCACAGCGTCTACGAGCGCCCAGTGAAGGGCGTGAAGTGAATCCCAGAGCAGACCAAGGCTCTGCCTGTGCCCAGGCCAGGGCCAAGGGCTCTGCTGCTGGTTTTATCTGCTGGATCAGGCTAAACGTTCTGCTTCTCCCTGGAGTTGCAGTTACTCTGCAGAGCAAAATACCCACGTGTATATTTGTGCATATATATACATATATATATATATGACCTCACTGACAGAGATTCAATACAGGATTTCAAGCATTCACTTTGGAAAGTATTTTAATAAAGACAATTTCTGGAAAGAACTCAAGTGCCTCAGCCTCAGCGTGGCTGTTTCCGGATGGCATTCCCTGGCTGACCACAGGAACAGCTCCCGCCTCCCACCCTGCTCAGCTCCCACCCGTTTGCAGAGGCAGGTGGCACCTGAGGGAGAAGGTGCAGCTGGTGCAGGAGAGGAGCTGGAGGCAGCCAACTGTCCAGCTGGGAGCTGACACGGGAAGCACGGCTGTGCCTTGAGCCCAGAGCCACTCCTGCGGGTGCAGCTCTGGTGCTTGCTTCTTTTCTTTCCCCTCTGTTTCCCCAGGCTAAACTGCATTTTTAAACTTCCATCACCATGAACTGAGACATTCTGGCACATTCCTTAGGGCTGAAATGGCTTGACCTCAGCTACACAGCATCCTCAGATCTCTCTCTGTACAGAGATGTGACGGTCCCATCCTTCCACTGGACTGTCACGTCTCCTGATTGCTGATCCTGGGGCTCCTGCTTCTGGGGCTCTGGGGGGCTGTATCCCTGCACAGGCATCAGGGCTTGTTTGGCTTCCAGCTCAGCCTGCTGGGTGTTTTGCACTGCTTCTTTATCCATCTGGATCTTCCTTTTCCTGCAAGTAAGGTCAAAGAAAGTAAAGGAAGGTCAAGGAAGGTTAATGAGAGGAGTGTAAAGGAAGGCAAGGAAGAGAAAAGAGAGGCAAGGAAGGGGCAAGGAGCAGCAAGGAATGATGTCTCCAGCAGCCCCTAGGGATGCCCATCTCTCTCTGCTTGCTGGGCTCTGTCTGTCTGAGGGGGTCTCAGCCTACCACCACACACCAAAAGGCTCCCAGATTTTCCTGACCCACCTGTTTCGCATAATGTTAAGGGCCAGGAGAAGAAGACCCAAAATCATGGCCACAAAGGAAAGCGCGAGGACCGAGTAATTCCATGTTGATGCTGGGGGAAAGCAGGGAGAGACAGGGTTAGCATGTGCAGAGCAGTGTGACCCACAGGGTCTGGCCAAGCATTTCCTGAGGATACTCAGCCCCAGAGTGCCATGGCTTGGCTGCAGGATGAGGCCAGAGATGCTGGTATCCACCCCAGCACCCAGAGCAGGGCATCCAGGTCACATTTTTTAGTATAACCTCAAGCAACTCTCCCTCCCAGGGCAGGATACCTACACAACTGCCTTCTGTCACCCCCAGCCCCTGCCTCAGGCTCTGTGTCCCTCATGCTGACCACATCTGCCACGTGTGGCTCCTCAGCCTTGCCCCAGAGCTGTGAGTGGCCATGCCTGAGGGTGGCAGCAAGGCTGAGGGCTACAGAGTCTCACCATGAGCAGGGCTCCAAGGGCCCCTCTGCTCTGCAGCCCTTCTGGCCACTGTCACACTGCAGCAGGGAGATTTTGCCCTGGCTTACGGGGCTGGGCTGTGCAGCACAGATGGCAGCAGGTTCTCTGGCCTTGATTCTTTATGGCTTTTAAGTTGATCCTGGGGGCACTGACCCCCTGATATCAATCTGCTCCCTCTACCCTGCCAAAATCATGGCTCATCCCAGACCTTTGCACTGTGTAAACCTGGGAAGAGGCTGAACCTCTTTCTGGGTGGAGACACATGCTCAGCAAAGCCTCATGCCTGTCTTCACCCATGGTCTACTTCTTCTGGAGGTGAGGCTGAGGGTTTATAGATCAGGGGTAAATCACCTCCTGCAGTTATTCCTTCGGGCAGGAGGGAGTTCCATTCGGCAGGTGGGTTAACAGCCAAGGAGTGTCTTATGTCCATTTTGGCTGAGGAACATCAGTGAGACTTACCATCTTCTCTGCGGAAGAACCAGAGCAGCTCCTCCAGCTTCTCCTGATCCATCCCCAGCACAAGGGTGGCATTCCCTGCTGTGTGCTCATACACGTGGGTGCTGGCAAGGGCTGCAGCGAAGTACCCGCCCTGCTCTGCTGTGGAGGAAAAGGGCAGAGAGATGCAGTGGCTGCTCACTGCAGCACTCCAGGCTACAAACGGCCTTCCCCTTGGCTCCCAGGGCTGCCCGGGACATCTCTCCAAGCAGGAAGAACACAGCCATGAGGGCACAGCTCTAACTCCTGCACTGAGGTTTCTGTAGAGCCCATTAGGGTGAGTACCCAGGGCTGGGAAGACCTGAGGCCGCTGCTGGGGCGGCACTCACCTTTCTCCTCGCACACGCTCCTGCCTGCAGCATCTTGCCACTGGGCCTTGACGCCTTGCACGTCGGTGAGAGCTACTCCATTCCTGTTTGCCACCAGGTAGCCCTGGCTGCTGTGCAGAGGAGAGAGCAGGGAATTCCAGCAGTCCCAGCCCGTGTAGCCTGCGCTGCCGCAGGGACTCATCTGCACCACGCTGGGTCCCGCCGAGAGGCAGCTCTGAGTGCCGAGATTCACCAGAGAATCACCCTGCCAAGACCAGGCCTGGAAATCTGACTCTGGATCACAGTCCTCCAGCAGTAAATTCCCATTCATTGGGCTGGCTTGTAAACACAACTTGACTCGAGTGTTTTTCATCAGAAAAGCTTCAGTGTCTGCAAAGAAACCAGCATATGAGTGTGGCCACCCCCTGAGCACAGGACGTCTAAGCACTCGTGGTGTATGTGGCAGATGGGAATGGCACCTTATCCTGAACTGGGACATCAGCACAGGGCAAATTATATTAAAGAGGCTCAGACCCTTCAGTGAGCCTCATTGCTGGCTTCTGCTTTCCCTCTGGGGACAGTCACCCTGATGTCCTTCTCCAGCTGCATGAACTAGGAACTGCCTCTGATGTCTTTGCTTCTAGGGAACCAAAGGGAAGGGTTTGGGGCTTAGATCTTTGCTGTCTAATCCTGAAGTGTCAGCTGAAACATCTCTCTGCACACTGGAGAAGTTGAAAGTCCCAACAGACATTGGTACTGGGTTTAAAACAACATCTCCATGAGTCAGAGGTCTTCCCAGGTGCCAAAGAGATGGCAGCAGGGCTGTGAGGACAAGCTTAGCATGCAGCTTTCCCTATGGCTGAGCCAGGCTGCTGCTGTGTGATGAGGAACATGGGCCCATGGAGAGGAAGAAACCCTGTTCCCAGAAAATGAAGGTCTTTAAAGCATGTCTTTGCCATAATACTATCTGCATGTCTTTGCCCTCAGCCACTGAGGTGTTCGTAAGGTCATACAACAAACTCTAGCACATATGCATCCAGCTCCTGTGAACCCCTTGTGCAGGGAGAGCCCGCCGAGAGGCCCAGCCTCAGCAGGGGTGACCTACTTCACCAGTATCCTCTAAGCCAAGATTCTACCTTGCAGCAGGAAAAATGGGATTATCCAGAAGAACTTCATCTTTGTAAGTGCAGCTGGGATGGATCACACCTTCACTGGTGTCTCCTCAGTGTGCAGACACCTGGGAAAGGGAGAGAGATGGGAGGTGAGGGGTGACCTTGTGGTGTCCTCTGCCAGCTCCTGCTGTGTGGTACCACTGGGTTTGTCAGTGAGAGCCCTGGAAGTTGTAAGAGTTATTCCTCAGAGGGACTGGAGACAGCAAGACAGTGTGTTTCTCCTCTGTTGTCTAGAGCCAATGAAAGGAGACAAAACCACAAGTGATGCAGATTCCCCTCCCTGTTCCTGTGTTCAGAGAAGGACCCGATGCACCCCTGCAGCTGTGGCAGCAGTTTGTGAAGGTGGGTGTGAGCTGCCAGGACAGGGTGCAGACATCCTGGGAGCTCCTGAGGTGACAGCAGAGAGAGTCTGGCCCAGGGCCTTCTGCCTGGAGTGGAACCCCTTCCCCAGGTGACTTTATGCAGATGTGATCTGAGCTGCTGAGAGCCAACCCCTCCCCAGCTAACTTTGCTGCTCCCCTAACACGATCCATAGGGAATACATTCTTTGTGGACAGTGATAACTGCTGCCAATCCATGGATGGCAGATTAAAGGCATGGAAATGAGGAAATGGAGGGCTTAGCTTCAAGAGGAGGAAAAGCTGGCTTGCCATTGAGATAAAGGTATCTCCCATGCCTCAGGGGAGCAGAAAGCTCCTTCCTGACCTTTAGTCCCTCATTTGTCAGTGGCATCAATCCAGCATTTATGGCTTCTCCAACTCAGTTCTTCAGCCTCCTCTGGAGGGACCTGGTCTGAGCAGAGGCTTTCCCCTCTCTGCTCTGTGAGCTGGAGATGGTCAGGTTGGCTCTTCCCAGCCCCCTGCTCAGCCACTGCTCACCTGCCTCCTCTGATCCATCACCCACTCACAGGTGAGTGACACCACAACACACATGTCCCTCAGACAGGCTGGCCCCACAGGCCAGCAATCATTACATTTAAGACTTTTATTACTGTCTGATGCTCTTAACTTTTACCCACCTTGTCCTAGCACTGCCTGAAACTCTGGTGTTCCACCATGCCAGGTGTGTCAGCAATGCTGCTGCTGACTCCTCAGAGAAGCATTTGTCCTATTGGTTAGAGACCTAATGATTGCTACTATTTTACCCCCCTTCTCAATGTCTTCACAATTCAAAGTTCACATTTTATAGCCAACCAAGCGTGCAGGTTTGCTCCCTGCTGCCAGAAAACCACCCATTAGCAATTCTTTAAGGACAGGACTCAGAAATGAGTGGTCCACTTTGAGTCTGTATTGCAGAAAATATGGTTAAAGCTGCTCCCTGCAGTTAGGTATGCCAATTAACTTACTGTCCAGGTAAGCTTTAGCTTATTCGTGTGGTTCACTCCTCAAAAAGGAGGAAATAAAATCTTGGTGCCAATGAAATCAAGTTCCAAGACTGCTACACCCTAGTAAGAAGTGCCACTTAAATGTGTTGGATCTTGCTGTGCGAGGTTTCTGTCTAATGATTTGCTCAAACAAGAACAGCTGAAATTCATGGTGCTGATTTTCTCCTAAGGTGTTTCATAACCTGTGGGCCACCTCCTGGTGCCTGTGCTCAAGCTGCCATGCACAGCAGGGTGCTGGAGAGCTGCTACAGCTACTTCACTGCTTCATAAATCAGTGGTGGCCAAATCTCCCCCAGACGTGGGAGGCTGGAACTTCTCAGGTCCAAAACAGCAGCAGAACAGATATTAACCTTGTGCTAACAAGTAATTCAGGTAAAAGCTTTTCAGGGAAAACCCCGTTATTTTAAAGATCTTTTACAACTACATCAAACTACTTTGGAAGTTTCAGGTATCCACAAAACAGTGTTCTCAGGCCAGGGTATCTACCCCAGCAGAAAGCCTGAGCAGGATCCAGAACACTGCCTGCACCACCAGTTTCTCCAGCAAGGAAAGAGTGATTCCCACAATTGGGCTGGACATGCTTTGGAGAGTTTGGATCTTCCAGCCTGGAAGAGAGAGAGTCCTCTCCTCCAGCTTTGCCCACCCAGCTGCTCTTCCCTGCTGCCCACATTCTGGCCCTGCTCCACCAAACAAGCCCAGAGAGCACGGGTGATGCCTTCCCTGCTGTCCCCTGCCCACACGTCTCAGCATTAACTCTGGATGCTATTGGATGGGGATGAGCCCTTAGCTCCAGGCTTTAGACAACTCTAAGCTCTGCACTTTGGTCTCCCAGCCCTCTGAAGACACCCAAGATCCTCCTGAGGTTGCTTCCCAGGAGAGCTCAAAAGAGAGAAAACTTGTGCATTTTAAGCTTCTACAGAAGGAGGCAGAAAGCACAAAGAGGCCAGCACCTCTCCAAGAAACATTCCACCCGAGTTATTTTGAGTTTATATTTGCATCTGAACAATTTTGTCATTTTTTTCTTTTTGCAAATAGGATTTTCACATCAAAGGCTGCAAAGTTTATATGCTGTGTGTAGGTCAGGAACTAAATATCACTTGCCAGTGCTGTCCCAGATCCTCTTGTTCAAAATCAGGATCTGTGGAGTTTGGTGGCATCGTATGAAATCTTATGGAAAAGTACAGAAAAATGGGAAGTGGCTGCTTTCTGCTCTGCATATTGATGCCAGCACTTAAATGGTAAAATCCTTCCCCATGATGGAACCCTTTGGAGATATGAGGCCCACCACAGGAACAGGGTGGAGCTGGGGGATCAGTGCTCTAGAGGTTGGACATAAGCTGGTGGGGGGGCCTGTCCTGGGCAGGAACACACATGTCCCCAGCTCCATGTGGACTCTTGCCAGCCAGGACACAGCCTGTGGAGCTGTGAAACCACTGTGTGCTTTCTATGTTGGTTTTTATCAGGTCTAATACTCCAGGTTGCTTACCAAGCCTCACTGCAAAGTCTCTGGATACTTACCACATTGATATTAGTAAAGATGGAGGAAAAAAATCTTCTGGAAAGGCTACCAAAGATGATAATGTCCCTCTGGACACTTTACTCACTACACAATATGGGATAATGCACTTATAATGTCCCAATCTTTGTAAAACAGTCTCTTTTTGTCATTCAGAGTCTCTCTCTGGTGGTTATCTTATCTTAGCTGATTGTGTTAAAACGTGCCAGTTATTCCAAATGTATTCTAGAAGTGGGATGCCCTGTCTTTGGAATCATACAGGATATACCAGACCACTGAGATACCAATGGGTGGGTTAGTTTATAAAGGTACATTAGGTTAGGAACCAAGCTTAGTCAAAGAACACAAATGTTTAATATTTAAAATATTAAAACAAGAAGGCAATCTCTACTATTTTTTAACCTTTGTAAAGTCAAAAGTTAAAGAGAAAATCTGAGTTATATTAAATATTTTCCTTTGATGGCTTTCCAGGCTGTTTCTATGTTTATCCCAGCCTGCTTCTCCCCAGCCATCCAGTCTCTCCTTAAACAACTCATACAGCCTTTGCTTAAAATTTCCAAGACTCCAAGCTTTCCAACTGAAATAACTGAATACAGAAGGCTACAAATTATCCCACCAGGACCCGCTAACTCACCAGCAACACGCAGCTCCCAGCAGAGGGGAAGCTACATCTCCTCTTCAAGCCCTGCTGCCTGAAGATGTCTCCTCTGAGCACTTTCTCCCGCGAGGAGGTGGCCTCTCCTCCTACCCCGGGTATGCCCTGAGCTGTGTGTGATTCATGCTGCTCCTGAGTCATGTGTGAAGGCCAGTTCAACAGGTGAGGTTCACTCCAGCCCCTGGAAAAAACACACCTCTTTAGTGGGTCCATTCACAGGAGGAGGTGAATGACCTTTTCCCACAGCAGAACTGCAGGAACTTCCCACTTATTTGCTCAAGCTCTTGGTACAATCAGCATGAAAAACAGGCCGAGCAGGGTGACACTCAGTAATAAGTTACCCTGGGGTTAAAATAAACCGTAACATTCACCCTGCCTGGCCCAGCCCTCCTTGCACAGAGGAAGCACGTCCTGATAAACTAGATATTAACCCCCTTTTTGAATTTTTTTTGATGAGTGGTGGTGCTAAAGCTCCCAGAGCTTCTTAAAGGAGCGACTGACTCTGCAGGCAAAGCACAACGCAGGCACCAGGGATGCTGCTGTCCCTGTTGCACAGGTCCTGGAGGCATCTGGCTAAGTCACTAGACTGCTAAGGCTTTGCAGCGTCACACGGGTGATGAGCTGCCTGTTGGTGCCAGCCACGATGGGAAAGGGGGAATCCTCCTCCCTGAGCTACTTGGTCCATGGATGGAGCTACATGATGCATGGATGCATGGATGCTACAGAGCAAACAAGATCCCTCTCAGTGATCTGGGACAGGGAGCACGAAGCAGCCCCTGCTGTAGGAGAAGACCTTCAGGTTCAGGACCATCTAAAAAGGCTGATGGTGCACAGGTCTAGGAAACCCAATGGGGTCCATCCACGGGTCCTGAGGGAGCTGGCAGATGCAGTTGCTGAGCCTCTGTCCATCATATTTGAGAGGTCATGGTGGTCTGGGGAGGCTCCTGCTGACTGGGAAAAAAGGAACATAGCCTGTTTTTAAACAGAGGGGAAAGGAGGAACCAGGGAACTACAGAAAGGCACAAAGGAAATGCCCTCCTCACGTAGCACAGTCTCTGAGTAGAGGGATGGAGATGCTAACCATGGTGAAGAAGGGGCTGTAACTGGAGAAGGGTGACTGCAAAGCCCCCAGAGGTCCTGATTCATCCCAGGCTCCTATATGGCTTGATTTATGTATCTATATTTTCATTAAAAACCAAATAAACTCCCCAGCTCCTGTGTGGAGGCTGGACATGACATCACCCACCTCCCTCTCAGCTGAAGCCTCTGAAAGCAGGTGGAGAAACCTGCTCAGGGGAGACAGCTCGTCAGGATGCAGGTATGTGGCTGAGACACCTCTAGGGCTCAGCGTGGTTGCCAGAGAAATAAAACCAGTTTCCCACTGGTTCGAGCTGGCCCTTGTGCCCAGTAATCCTCCTCTTCTCCAGAGGACTGGGAACACACTCAAGAGCAACATCTTCAGCAACACTGCGAGTGTTTTATTTCCTATTTCCCCTGCCAACACTGGCACTCTGTAACAGGAGGTATCTTATTGCTTCTTGGAGACACTTCCAGTGTCTCTGGAGAGGCAGCACAGTGGAGGCAGGACCTTGATTTGTGCTCTGTTTCCTCCTCAGATTTGTCTTCACTACTCTTAGGAAGAACTTGTCTGACCTTGGTGTTTTAATTTTGCTTATCTTTTTTGATCCCTTCTGTGTCTTTGACCCGAAATGCCTGGTTACAGAATAACTAAACATTCTGGGTTGTTAGTTTGGATGTTGTGTTTGGTTTTGGGTTTTTTCCCCATGTACAAAAGCAGAGTTCAACTGCAGCAGGAAAGCAAGATTTGTGAGCTTTTCTTGGGTTTTATTTTTGGGTGAAACAATCAGACTTTTGCTTCCAATCTGCTGGGAAGTTTGACATCAAAAGAAACCTGCAGTTGAAAATCATGGACACTGTGTCCCAGGCATCAAACTAAATAACAGCCATAATCTGTTTGGACTCTGCAGTCCTGTCAGAGATGAGGAACTACTTGGGAGCGTGTGTGAATTTAATTCCATCTCATTAACTTCACTGCTCATTAAACATGAATTACTTCATGCTTAAGTCTGGCAACAGCTCGGCACGGGGTTTCGGTGCTTCCAGGAGCCTGGGCAGGGCCGAGACTCCTTCTCCAGGGTTTCAGCCCCTGCAGGAGCAGCAGGTGAAGCCGCTCAGGTGCTGCGGGAACATCCCACGCTCCCCGTGCCAGGAATGACGGGCAAACCCGATGTGGAACGGGGCACAAACACACCCCGCGCTGCTTAGCGTGGCGTGAAATCCCACCTTCCTGAGTGGATCCTTCCTGGTGTTACCTCCTCAGCCCGTTCCCAGTGATGGACACGTTTTCTCTGGCACGCGTTTCTGGGCTCTCACACCCCACATTCCAGGAATTCCCACTGCCAGGATGCGCTGCGAATCGGACGCGCAGGGGGACCCGTGTGTGCGGTTTGCACTGAATTAAAAGACACACCAACAAAACACCTTCCCACGGGGGGAAAAGCGCGTCCCTAAGGCCGGGATGTGTTCACCCCTGTGTTCCGCGAGCAGGCGGCTCCTACAGCCCCCCTGCCCGGCATGTGCCTGCGGTACC